ATGAGCCATATCAAAAGGTATATTTTCAAGAGCTATTTAAGAGAGAGACTCTTCTCTGTATATGCTTTTCAAATCTCCCAGAATAATGTTGGCAGACTCCTTATAGACCATTCTTATCTAGAAGGGAGTGGATTTTTTTTTCAGGTAATAAGATCTAATCAATTTCTATTATCAGAATTATATATATATATATTTTAGCTTGCAACCTGACAAGGGTACGATTTAAGCAATTTAAGTAGCAAGAATATATTAAAATGAGTCCTGAATGTAAGCATTTCTTTACCTTCCTTACTTCATGTCATAGAAGCACCAACATTTTGCCTTCAACAGGATAGATTTCAAATAAAAATCAAGCTTGAAGACTAAACCATTAAACTTCACTGAAGCATAACAGGATGACACAGAAAACAATGGTTTCACTTCAGAAACTGGACATTCACCGGGGAACACTTATTATAGGATGCCTGCATATTAAAATTGTTTTCTATTTTAGTAAGAAAGTACTCACATTTATCACTGGAAATTGGAAACTGTATTACACATTTGAATTCTGTGGTTAATATACACTAATATTCTTATCCCTGATATGCATAAACAATCAGAATTTGTTTTTTTATATTGGCTACTGGTTGAAGAATAGAAAGCCAATAGAGTTGCATTTACTTAACAATTACTTTTTCTACATTTGTCCAATGCTACTACATGATTCTCTAAGGCAAAATCTGTACCCAACTCATAATAATTTTTGGAGATAAATGGAAATGGTTTGCATCAGTCTGATTTCATTATTAATACATAGTTCTTTGAAATACAGAGTAACTGTATAGGTGTTGCAGTGGAAAATTCCCCTGTCCTCATACAAATTTATTTCACTTTGTATAAATTTAAGCTAGCTGTGATTATGTTAGCATTTTTCAATTAAAAATGAAAATTCAACCAAGGAGAAAAAAATAGTAAATTAATATAATTAAAAATCAAATATCTCATTGTGCAACCTAGTGACAGTATTACTACCTCTTACTCTCATATACTTCATACTATCAGTAACTGTCCAGTAAACCAAAAAGAAGTTAATGTGAACTAATTATTTTTGAATCTTTTGAACTATATTGGGTACATATAACATAGATACTCATTTCATAATTCCATCTCCAGCTTTTAAAATAGTGCCTGCCAAATTTTATAATGAGAGTATGTGGGGAAGATGATTCTGATATTTTTACAATCCGTTTAAGAAATATTTATTATTTCTAGAGTCTCTTCTACATTTAATGCCTATTTGCAAATAACAGAACCCCTGTTTGAATAATCTTTTTTGGAAGACACCAAGTGTTTCATGAAGTAAAGGCAGAGTTGATTAAGCATGACAGAGCCATGTGTATATCGATGGGCAGACAGAGAAAGGAGACCTACAAAGAGACGAGAAAGCAGGCCTTTAAAGAAAAGCAGAGAAATAAATACTCCCTAGAACTACATATTCGGAGAAGGCAGTGGCACCCCACTCCAGTACTCTTGCCTGGAAAATCCCATGGACGGAGGAGCCTGGGAGGCTGCAGTCCATGGAGTCGCGAAGAGACGGACACGACTAAGCAACTTCACTTTCACTTTTCACTTTCATGCATTGGAGAAGGAAGTGGCAACCCACTCCAGTGTTCTTGCCTGGAGAATCCCAGGGACGGGGGAGCCTGGTGGGCTGCCGTCTATGGGGTCGCACAGAGCTGGACACAACTGAAGTGACTTAGCAGCAGCAGCAGCAGCAGCAGCAGCAGCAGCAGCACTACATATTACAGCTTCAATAAATGGAGATGAACAGACTTCCTGCATTCTGACTGCAGAAGATTTGGGGGAGCCCAACCTCCCTTATATGCCCACTCTGGCCAGGAGGACAGCATACGACTGAACTATGATAAGAATCTTGTGGCAAGCTTGGGAGGTGGTTTCCATAAAAAAGGAGTGGGGGTTGGCAGGCCGGGCAGAGCAGACTGTCTCATAGATGCTGATCATGCTGGGAAAGTGGATAGTAAATGTAGAGAAGTGGCAGGTGATCCCACCCAGGTTAATAACAAGTTAATGTCCTAGAGAATTAAGAGATTGGAATGACAGTAGGGGACAAATGGTGAATGTAATTCTGGATTATTTTACATAGATCGAATAACATTTTAGTAGGTAAAAAATGATCAACTATCATTCATATGAGTTATGTTTTATGGCTGAAAAATGGATGAATAGTGTTAATTTTCTATGTTGCAAAGTAGTATTTTATTCAGCAAGCAGTGGCTAAACACAGGGTAGGAAGTATAACAGAAGAGGGTATGATAAATAAAGGGAACGTGGAAGCAATTTTTTGTATACTGATTGACCACTTTGTACTGGGCATTATACCTTAAGTTAGGGAAACTTTCAGAAAGCTTTGACCTTATAAAAGTTATTGATTTCTACAGGGCTTTGAAGAAAAAGCAATTAGGTTAGGGCTGAACTCAATATGAATTGCTCAGAACCTACAATTTCATATCTAGGTTTTAAATATAAATTATTATTATTTTTTAAAAAGCTTTAAAACACAGTTGATCTTGGATTCATGTATCGTCCCTTCCTCTGCTGCACTGTAGGACCCTGGAAAAGTCATTAAACTTCTTTTACTGAGATTTCCTCACTTGTAAAATAAAGATATAGAGATACTATGTGTTTCATAGGGTTTCTTTGATGTTCTACAATAATGTAATGAATACAAAACATAAAACAGCCTAATTCTTGGAAGACTAAACGCTCAACTGGCATGGACAGCAATAAGGTTCTAATCTGGGTTTGGGGAGGTAGGATAGAGAAGGCAATGGCAACCCACTCCAGTGTTCTTGCCTGGAGAATCCCGGGGACGGGAAAGCCTGGTGGGCTGCCGTCTATGGGGTCGCACAGAGTCGGACACGACTGAAGCGACTTAGCAGCAGCAGCAGGAGGTAGAGACAGAATGACAATACTTGATATCACATAGATGGCAGAGGGAACTGGAGAAAGGGAAATGGTACTCAGGCCCCAGCAACAGGGCCAATGCAGGTCCAGTTAAACTTGAATCCTCATCTCAGTAGGGGATTTGAGATGTTGACCAGAGATCTAACTGGAATGCTATCCTAAAGAGTGGGGATACCAGTCTGATGGTAGGAGAGGGATGGGATGTAGGTAAATTTCCAGGCCCAGAAAAATACTCCATGTGTAATAGGTTCTCATTAAGTATTTTTGGATGGAAAGATGATAGATTTTATCAGTTCACAGCAAATAAAATATGGCAGAAACTGATAATTGTCTCCCCAATATTTACTTTCTCCCTTTTTGCTTCTCTTTGTTCTAGAATGTCTCCCAATTTTATCTGGGAGTCTGTCAAGAGACATTTCCCAGTCTCAAGGACATCTATGTGTGCCTATATATAACTGAGATCTCACTGATGGAATACAAGTAGAAATGACATATGCATCTTCAGGTCATGGTTTTAAAAGGAACCAGCTTGTTATTTACTGAGGATGTGACTGTAGAATTGATGATGCAGATGAGGACAAGTTGGTGGATGGTGGAGCAACAAGAGAAAAGGACCTGAAAATGAAAGTCGCTCAGTCGTGTCCGACTCTTTGCGACCCCATGGACTATAGAGTCCATGGAATTCTCCAGGCCAGAATACTGGAGTTGGGTAGCCTTTCCCTTCTCCAGGGGCTCTTCCCAACCCAGGGATTGAAGCCAGGTCTCCCACATTGCAGGTGGATTGCTTACCAGCTGGGCCACAAGGGAAGTCCCAAAAGGACCTGAATCCCTGATAATCGCAGGGGGCAGAGGCATTGCACTCCCTAAACCTTGCCCAAGTACAGGCTTACAAGTGAAAGAAAAAGATGGCTGATTTGTCTGTCACTGTTAACTGGTCTTGGTTAAAAGCTGGTTACATTCCTAACAGGCTTCTGTCACTCAAGTATGGTTGGAGGTATGAGAGGGTATATTTCAAATTTCTTATATTCTAACACCATCTGAGTGGGACTAAGTTAAGCTGAGGGACTGCTATTCATATTCATCAGAAATGTCTTTAATCATTTAAAATGAGCATTTATTACTCAGTAGAAATAGTTACTATAAAAAAGTAAACATTACTTTACTATCTCTTGTATATCCTCTCTACACCCTTGTATACGCTCCCTTCTGTTATACCTCATTTACATTCTCTCATCACTGAAATAATTAGGTTAGACACAGAGATGGTAGTAGTGAGATCAAAGTAAAAAACAATAGACCAAAATAAGAAAACTAGAGAAGATATTTTGATTCTGCAAGGCATTTCATACTTAATTTTGTGGTTAATTGCTTTATAAATAATACATAAAGGTTTCTCCCCTTGATATTAATGAAACAATTGTTAAGGGAATTTCCCTTTCAACGGGAATAGCAGCTTTCTACATTATTTCATGTGGAAGATGGCTGAAAACTAAAGTTTGTATCATTGAGAGTTGATTTTGCCAGACCATCATATTAACTTTTTGAAATGTCTTGTTTAAGACTCCAAATGTCAGAGGGATTATTATACAAAATATATTTCGGTATTGCATCTAATTTATGTCAACTTTTCTATCTCTTTAAATAAGAAACATTTTATTCAAGGTCATTCTTTAAAATTTAAAGCTACAAGCCATGGCTTTAATCACACTCCATAAATCAGAAAAAGAGAATAAAGTAAGAAATTAAAGTTGAAAGACATGAAAATTACAGTTACTACAATTTTTTCTTTCCTCACTGATGACATAACCTGAATCTATTCTTATAAATCCATCAATAACCAAAACTACTGTCATTTGCAGAAAACTTCTATATGAAGAGGACAAAAATAACTGAACACTCATTGGGCACTAACAGTAAATGAGAAATAGATGGGCATGAATTTTCATGTAACTGAGTAATCAGCAACCTGAAATTTAAGGAAATTGAGTTTTTATTTATTATAATTCTTTATACCCATGACTCTGTTCTCTTACCTTCTATATCTTCATAATATGTATATGATTTTCTCTTTGGAATCACTATAAAGTCTGACAGGTCTAAGATAGGATTTTTTCCCCCAAAATCTCCATCCAGTGTGACTTCCACTTCCTCTTCTAGCCGCTTCCTGGCCTGACACTTTATGACAACTACAGGAGAGAAATACTTTCAGTTAATTTGACTAATGGGATATTTGATTGTTCTTGAGATAGAAAAAAATGAATTATGCTATGAAAAACAGAAGTCCCTTTGGCAGACTTTGGCATGTCATTGCATCTGGTATTAACACACACACATTCATTCAGTATCTATGTACACTGACATTTTGGAAGCAACATGAATATTAAATAATATGTAAAAACAGCATGACAAGAGATAAATCTAGAAGATACACAGCAAAGTACAGAAGATTACATTAAGATGCAGAAATGTGATTCAGGGACTAGATTTTTCAGCTATCTGTAAGCTTACTGTGGTAAATACCGAATTTTACTTAAATAAAAATACTACAGCAAATACTTTCAAATAATTTTTTAAAAGTCTTATAATATTTATTTTATAATACTTTTAGAATATGTCTTATTATCTCCTAAACTAAAAATATTAATTTAATTAATATTTAGTTTAACTAAAAATAATATTACATGTACCTTGAAATTTACTTAAATTATTTAAGTAAAATATTTTAATTTCCATGTGTGAATTGCTTTCAAATTTATAAAATACACTATTTAGCAGTTAAAAATAAAACTGTAGTTATTTATTTAAAAATAATATTAACCATTAGTACATATTAATTTAATTTATAGCATTAAACATTAAATTAATGTAACTATATATTTCTCTCTATATATTAAACTCCAACATTTTCTTATATACATTTCAGACGTGTTAGTGATCTTGTAAGTAACCAAAATATTATATCTATATATAGCTAATAATTTTATAAAGGAATATTACTGTGTTGGCACCATCTCTATAATATTATGAGGCCATGTATACTAGAGTCCATATTTCTCCAAAATATATCAAATGTTATATTTTGTCAGTTCAGATGCACACAGGACATAAACTGAATATGAGATAAAAAAGTGAATCATCATATTAAAAAAACTTTTGAAATATACTACTCTATGCTTTTATGGCATCACTAATTACATATTTTAAAATAATTTTATTAGAATATAGTGCTTTACAATGTTGTACTAGCTCCTGCTGTACAGAAAAAAAAGATAATAATATGTTCATTGGAACTGCAAAACTGGATAATGTTCAGCAGATTTACGTGTTTTTGCAATATGTACCACATCTACAGTAAAGAAATAATTAAAATAAATTTTATTTTAATTCTTAAACTTATAGGTTGATACTGAACATTTTGGACTTAGATTTAATTATGTGAAATGTACAACAGGGTACAAAGTTAGATGTAAATTAAGTGGGTTGAAATGGCTGAAGAAAATGTACAAGCTTTTCTGGTTATAATTAGCTTCAGTCTTAGAGCATTAAATCGGAAATTAGTGTGATCAAAGTTACAATTGGCATCATGTCACTGGTCTTGTCCTATAAGTCCTTAGGAAATTAGTGTCCTAGCAATACCAGGATTACTAAATCACAATGGATACACATTCCATTGTCTTTACACTGTGATAGGGACTGCAGCTCTTTTCCAATTATCTACCTCAATGGACAGGAGCAGATTAGAATGCACAAAGAGAAAAGATGGCTCACAGTGCAACAAAAGTACCCTGGGCTTGAGAATAACCTGGGTTATAGATAAACATAGAAAAGAAGAAAAAGAAACAACAAACACTGATGGTGACACAGCTGAGCAGGGAAAGCAATGGGTTATTTCCGACGTGTTCTTAGGAATGAAGAATGGACTATACAGAGAATAAATAATATTTATTTATAAAATCGTACCCATTTGTTTCTCAAGGGCATTTGTAGAGAAAAAGAATTACTAGAATAGGTTTTAGACTTTTGGTAAAATGATATAATAACTACTATACAATCTGCTCAGAACACAGATGTTCACTTGGTTGTGATAATATAACACAGGCTATTTACAGAACTCACATTTACTTTAAAAAAATAATAATTACCAAGAGAAGTGACTTGATAGAAAATGTCTGTTTTGGAAGCATATTTAACCTTTATTGAAGACAATGGTACAAGAAATTTATGTTTTTATTTTCTCATAGGCTTTATTTTAGACTTCTAAAAATCTGCTTTAAATCTTTAATCTAGGGGGAGAAAAAACAGTATCTGGAGTAGACACGAGCAATACTGCTGTTAGAATTCCAACAGAGTAATGTCTAGGCTGTATTACATCACTTTGATCAGAAGACTATTATAAATTTTACACTGCTCAGCTCTGTGGAAAGTATACAAACAACTATGTCCTAGACAGAAATAAAAAAAAATATTTTGACATGTTTGTGAAGCATTCTGAAGATAATTTAGTGTATGTGAAATATTTATGTGTTGATAGTTTTTTTAGCACAAGAATAAAAATTCTTCAAGTAAAACAAATGACATTTATTGTCAAAGGTATTGTTAGGTATGTGGATTTTCACTCCACTTAAACCACATAAGGAAATATATAATCTTGTTCTTCCTTTATAACCAGTGTATCTGGGGAAATGCTATTATTCACAAGCAAAACTTGCTATTTTCTTTTCTAAGTGTGGTGACATAATTTATGCTAGTAAAGACAAGCCCTTTTTCACTAGCAAAGACTGGTATTGGAGGAAGAAGGAAAATTCAAAATTTCAAGACTTCTTACAGCTTATTTGTGTTGTTCAAGGTGGAGACTGAAAACAGATAGCCCTTTGCTGTGCAATTCAGTGATTCTTACTTATGAAGAACTATGCCTAGAGCCTGGTAAGAGGCTGGGATACTAAATTTCACCCTATGGTTATCTAAGAGGAATTGTGCTGGTTATCTAAGAGGAATTCTTACACTGACCCTGGGAAGAAAATGGGAACATCAAAGTATGCAGAAGTGAGAAGAGTGTTAAGGAAAGAGAACATACAGAAACTTGAGATAAGTCTGGATTAGGTGGAGGAAAAAAGGGGTCATTGAGAAAAAGAAAGGCATTTTAAGAGTAGAGATTTGATGTTGCATGTGTGGTGGCAAAGCAAACCTCCCTGAAACCTCTATATTCTGACTAGTTTTTGGAGAACAAAATCAAAGATTTGTATTAGGAAAACTAACAGAGGAATCACTGTCCCCATGAGTTACACAGAAGCCAGAATATGGTGATTAAATGTGATCCAAGAAGCCAAGTACCTAGGAATCTTACAAATCTAGTACAGGGCTCAGAGTGCATCAAAGACTGTGAAATAAAGGGGTCTGAAGTTGATGTTATATCAATCTTAGCTGATTGGTAGGTTTCACCAACAGCAAGAACAACAGGAAATGGTATAGTTTTGTGAAAAGATCATTGAACTAACTGTTAAGAGAACATTTTCAGCCTTAGCGTTCCCACCAACAGAGCTGGGTGAATTTATACCTACTTTCTCTGAACCTGGATTTTCTTGCTTGTACAAAGAAGACATGTGATTAGACGGTCTCTAAGATCCCTTAAAATCCTAGTGTTCTCTGACTGTAAGATATACTTACTTTGTGAGTTTTCAGGAGCTGCTGCCTGTGGGAATCCAACAATAGGGTATATCCAGCGTATTTCTAGAATTTCTTCACTGTCTAGTCCCAAACCCCTGATTAGAAATTAAATTATTAAGAGTGAACAAAAGCATAAACACTTTCAGTATTAGCATAAAATAACACATTTTTAGTGACCTAATGATACTTTAAACAAAGCTCATAAATTTAAACTTCGGTGGAGAGAAATAAGTATGAAGTAAAAAACATTTTCTGCAAATGCTGATTTTTATAAACATTTCAAACCAAACCCTGGGAAATCATCACAAAGAAAACTGTAGTACAATCACTGCCAGATCTAAGTTACAACTGAAGAACTCTTTTCCCTACATTCAAAGGTTGGTACAGCAGCTGGCCCTCCATATCTGTGGGTTTTGAATCCACAGATTCAACCAACCATGAACTGAAAGTATTATATAAAAAAAAAAAAAAACAGAAAGAAAGACATTTTGGAAAGTTTCAACAAAAACGAAACTTCTATTTACATAGCATTTACAGTGTATTAGGCATTATAATAACATAGAGGTGATTTAAGGGCTTCCCAGGTGGTGTTAGTGGTAAAGAATCCGTCTGCCCATTTAGGGGATGAAGGAGACACAGGTTCGATCCCTGGGTCTGGAAAATCCCCTGGAGGAGGAAATGGCAACCCACTCCAGTATCCTTGCCTGGGAAATCCCATGGACGGAGTAGCCTGGCAGGCTATAGCCCATAAGGTCACAAAAGTGACATGACTGAGCACAACACAGCAGCAGAGGTGATTTAAAGTATATGGGAGGATGTGTATAGCTTATATGCAAATTTGATGCTGTTTTATGTAATGGACTTGCGCAGCAAAGGATTTTGGTATCCGTGGGGGTCTTGGAATCCATCCTTCAAGGATACTGAGGGATGACTGTATTGGTATTAATATTTACTGATGTGACTAAAATGTGATTAATAAGAGGTAATACAGTTTCCATGGATTATACTCTAAACTGGATAGGAAAAGCACAAAACAAAAAATGCCGTTAAGTACAGAACTTCAGAAAGTAATGGGGAATGTACTTTTGGAGGCTACCAGTTAAAACTAAAGGGGCATTTGTAAAATTATTCAAAGTCCATCAGACACCATCAGGAGGACAGTGATACTAGAAAATGGTTTTGACTGTTGTTGAAAACAGATTTTTCTTATTAAAGATGGAGCATAAGACACAACAGCTTCACCAGCATATGACTCATTCAACAGCACAAGAACTCCACACTCGGAATCGCTCATGTTCATTTACTGTCTTGAAATTCTTAATACTTTTTGAACAACGGCCTCCTCATTTTCATTTTACCCAGATCACGTCTGCAGTTTTGACTGCAGGAGTGGTGAAATCCTGGCAGAATGGACATTAATGAGCCTACAGGAAAGAAGGTTTTGAATGTGAAGAAGAAATATGTACACATAAGACAAAGTAAGAATTTCCTTTGAATTAAGGCTTCTAGACCATTATTTAATTAAATTATAAAAGAAGAGAAACCATTTAAATCTTCCATCAGTAGTGGAGTCTGCTTACATTTCAGCTAAGCAAAGAGGCGACAAGTAAGATTCACTCTGACAAAGACACAGCACACCCTAGTCGTGGCAGTATTTCATCAGGACGTCATATACCTGGCACCGTATCATCACTTGTGTACATCAGCATAAATCCTATACTTTGCCCAGAGAGGCTGATCCAGGTTGTTCTGTAGATACAGACTCAAAAAGGAGTCTTTGTATTTGACTGTATCTGACTGTGATTCATTGATACGATACTTAAGATTGACTTGTTCCTCACTTAGAACTTCAAATCAGCAATGATATAAACAATCCCCCTATAACAAATATATTTTCCTCCTCTAACCATATACATATCAATACTTCAGAGAACATAAACTCATGAACTTTACATTGCATAACATACAAAAGAAACTGGATCAATCAATACCAGTCAAAATGAAATCATATTCCTTCAATGTCCTATTTAAACGTTACCTTTTCATCTCTGGGTGCAATTCCATAAAATTGTCAATAAGCCATCTTTTTCCACTCGCCTTCCTCATTTGAATAAGGACCATTGTTTTTTGTAATTTCATAACCTGGGGCATAAATAACACCTGGATATCCAGAGTCCCTTTAGGAGGCAATGAAATTCCTGTTAAAAAAAAAAAAGTTCAAGTGTGGTAAACATTTTAGAATACAATTTTAACAATGAAAGTAACCTCTCCTTACTGACTATCTAAATTTTTCAAAATCACTTCTGAACAAAAAAATATGATAAATTATATGTGTACTTTACCGGCTTCACTAAATTTCCTCAAATGTCATCAATTTTTTAAGAAACACATTTTATCCTGAGGCAAGAAGGTTCTTCTGAAGAGGATAGAAGAACTGAAGAACTGTTGATAGTTTTAGCTTAAGTTTCCCAGAGTGATAAAAGAACCATAAAACCTATGAGCCTTTACAAGTCTTACTGTATTTTACATAAGATATAGTACAGCAATTCTGTCCTTTTAATTTTTTTGTGTATTTTTTTTTTCTAGACCATAATAGCTCCATGTTTCTGTCTGGAGCCCCAAAATGGCTACCAGTAAGCTGTTTATTTCTCTAACTGATCCATGAAGGAAGCTAAAGCTTATTCATGAAAGAAAGGGGCATCCACCTCAGGTTGTAAAAATCAGAAGACAGGAAAAACTGACAACATTTTCTTACATTATAATGAATTAAAAAAATTTAGCCTTTGCTTTGCATAAGTACTACCTGCAAAAAAAATTGTTAGACATGGAGTTTGCTAAGCCCCAACTAGAGAGATTCTGATTTGCTCAGTCTGAGCTGAGGTCTCAAAGCTGCATATTTAAGTAGTAGCTCAAGAGATCCAGAAGCAGATGGTCATGAGACTTAGAAAAAACCCCTTTACCAATGGACAAGTACTGAAAAGTTAGAAGACTAGTGAGCTTCTGGCCATTTATAACACTGAAGGTTTCCAAGTGATTAGTGTCTTCTTTTATTTTGAAGAGTAGCATTCTTTCTTTACAAGAAAATGAGGGATTACTGACTATATATTTTTTAATTCTTTGTTATAAAGATTGAAGATATTCAAGGCCATTTTGTGAATATTGCACTAAACTACAAAGAATATCAAAAAAGAAAATAGAAAATGGCCCCTCTACAAAATATTTCAACTCAAAATTATTATAAATTTAAAATTTTTATTTTTATTCCTTCAGGAAATAAAAATTTTCTAAGGTGTGTAATCACACTTAACAATAAACAATAATCAATATGATTACTAGTTAGTATTTATTCACTGTTGACTATATGTCAGGCTCTGTGCTAAGTATTTTTCACATGACATTTCATTCTCCAAAATCACCATAAATAAGTGTGTTATGTTTCTCACTTGAGATGGAGATATTGAAGCAATTTGGTTAAACAACTTGCCCAAAGTTCCAATGAAAGACCATGGTGTAAACAAGATATATGAAAAATTTCTATCGTCAACTTCATCTTTATGAGTTCTGTATTTTCAATGAATCATTGCATTCAAATAAATAAAAACAGCAAGAGCCAGAATAGGCTAGGATAAAAAGCTGGAATATGATAAAAACAGCAGAGCTGAGTCAAATAAACCATACATGAATCTCCAAGGAAAAGTTTCAAAATGATCATTTACTCTTACAAAAGTATATTACCCATCAGAAATAAACCAGAAATAAATAAAAATAAACTCAGACATTCAGAGAGTGTAAGGAGTCAAGACAAAGATACAAAGGATACTTGGTTGCTAACATCATGCTTTCTTAAAATATTTGAAATGAACGATAATCCTATAATAAGCCCATTTAATTAAAAATCTAGTAGGCTATTTGTGGCTGCAACTTTCTACCAGTCTACAAGTAGAGCATCAGTTTACAAGAAGAACTAATACCAGTCTACCGGTAAAACCAATACCAGTCTACAGGTAGAACCACAGTTTCTTATTGAATTAACCATACATTTCTTTATTATTACATGTTTGAATAGTAAGAATCACTATCATGTTAATAAACTTCCAAGAAATGACTGAAGCTCAGCATTGATAAGAACTTTGAGGATCTATCAGATTCATTCCGTGTCTCATAAATAATTTTTATTTCCTTTGGTTTTCCCATTGTCTTTTGCAATACTTTGAGCAGAGACAGGAAAGCTGTCCACATTTCTATCTTATAAAGAATCTGACTCATGTTTACTTCTAATATCTATATGTTTTCATCCTTATAGTTAAATATTCAATCCATTTGTAATTTATCCATGTGTAAGGAATGAAGAATGCATTCAAGGTTGTTGATTTTCTGTATGAGACTAGTTGTCCAAATATTGGATACTATTGCTTATAGGTGGAATCCAGAAAAATGGTATGGATGGACTTACTTGCAAAGCAGAAACAAAAACACAAATGTAGAGAGCAAACTTATGAATATCAAGGAGAACAGGGTTGGGGTAAATTGGGAAACTGGGAGTGACTTATATACAATAATATGTATAAGATAGATAACTAAGGAGAACTGACTGTATAGCACTGTTCTGCGGTGACCTTATAGAAAAGAAATCTAAAAAAGAGAGGATATATGTATATGTAAAGTTGATTCACTTTGCTGTACACCCAAAGCGAATACAACATTGTAAAGCCACTATATCCCGATAAAAACTAAAACAAAAAGTTCAATGATTGGAAATGCCACCGTCATGGCCTTTTCATATATATTTTGGTCTTTTTCTGCAGTCCCTAGATTTCTCATCATATGTAAGTACCACGTTGTTTTAATCATAGATGCTTTATTTTCTGCTAGGACTGTCTCCTCCTTCAGCTCATTAAAAAAAATATTTTTTTTCAAATTTCAAAGGAATAGTTAACTCCAAGAAGGGAATGGCCTGGCAAGCAGTACTTTTAACAGGATCATCCTACATTTACACTTTACAGATAATAGCCATTTTTGTCCATTCATGATCAATTCAAGATCAATGATAGGGCCTTTATTTTTTTTCATTTGAGCATTATATTAGGTGCTTCTAGGTTCTTGGAATAGGTTTTTAGCCCGTCTTAGTTTTCGGTGTTGCTGGAGGCTCATTTCAATATCTACATATGTGTTTAGCAGGAAGCTGGGAGAAACCACATCAGTTGTTTCTATCATCTGACTGGGAAATCTAGTTAATATGATGATTACTACATTCATTAGATTACACAATCTAATAAAATGTATTCTGCACTCAAAACATTTTCTAAGCTGATCTTTTGGTGTTTTATGTTATTTCCATACAGTAACTATACAAACTACAGATGTATTTACCTTTTTCTATTACAGTTACCATTCTAGAGGTTCAAAACCCTAATAATCATTTTGGGGAAAATATGCGCATTTCATTACACACAATTTATTTTATGTGCTTTATGAGAGAGGCATATATTATTTATAGAATTTTTGAAACCCTGATAATATATTATGCTTAGCATCTGAGAAATATTGAAAAGAGTGGCATTCATTATATTATCACTATTACTGTTTTGCTTTTGAAATCTGCTATGGCCTAGTTGCAATTAGCATTCAAATTTTATTCAGTGTATTTTAATACCGCTATTTTGACTGCTCTTTAGATTAAAGGTAATAGAAATATTTATGCACTGATCTCCAATTTGAAATATAGAAGCTGTATAATGCTTTAATGGCTATGAGGTTTCCTGCCTTCTTAGAAGAAAATCTTCTCAAGAGTGTAAAGTGAACATAATCCTCATTTTAGTAATGAAAGTATTTCATCTTGGGAGATTAATTTTTAATCACTTTAGTGGTATTACACTATTATTCTCTACAACATAGTTTCTAATATTTAGCATGGAATTAGAAATAGCCCATGTCAGTAAATCAGAGACACTTAAACATGTTGTTGTTTAGTTACTAAAGTCATATCTGACCCCACGGACTGTAGCCCGCCAGGCTCCTCTGTCTAGGGGATTTCCCAGGCAAGAATACTGAGTGGGTTGCCATTTCCTTCTCCACGGGATTTTTGTGATCCAGGGATTGAACCTGGGTCTCCTACACTGGCAGGCAGGTTCTTGACCACTGAGCTACCAAGGAAGTTTGTATTTAAACATACTAGCATCCTAAATGATAGCTATTACTTTTGTTACAGTGGTTTATTTTATTTATTTATTTATACTTTTGTCAAATGTCTATTTAGTTTTTTAAACTGAAGTACAGTTGGTTTACAATATCGTGTTAATTTCAAGTATACTGTAAAGTGATTCAGTTATATGTATAAATGTATATCTATCTATCTATCTATGGGGCTTCCCAGGTGGTACTAGTGGTAAAGAACCTGCCTGCCAATGCAGGTGATGTAAGATATGCAGGTTCCATCCCCAGGTTGTGAAGATCCCCTGGAAGAGGGCATGGCAATCTACTCTAGTATTCTTGCTGAGGGAATCCTATGGACAGAGGAAGCTGGCAGGCTATAGTCATAGGGTCACAAAGAGTCAGACACGACTGAGGTGACTTAGTACACACATATATATCTATGTTCTTTTTTTTCCAATTCTATTCCACTAGTTTATTACAAGATATTGAATAGAGCTCCCTGTGCTATACAGAAGGATCTTGTTTCTTTTATATGTGGCAGTGTGTGTTTGTTAATTCTATACTCCTAATTTATCCCTTCTGGAGAAGGGAATGGCAAACCACTTCTGTATTCTTGCCTTGAGAACCCCATGAACAGTATGAAAAGGCAAAAAGATAGGATGGACAGGGAGGTCTGGGGTTGCAGAGTCAGACATGACTGAGCAACTTAACTAAACTGAATTTACCCCTTCCCCATCTTCCACTTTTGTCTTCTACATCAAGGAAGATGTCACCTTGCTTATTTAACTTGTGTGCAGAGTACATCACGTGAAATGCTGGGCTGGATGAAGCATAAGCTGGAATCAAGACTGCCTGGAGAAATATCAATAACCTCAGATATGCAGATGACACCATCCTTATGGCAGAAAGTGAAGAGGAACTGAAGAGCTTCTTGATGAAAGTCAAAGAGAAGAGTGAAAAAGCTGGCTTAAAACTCAACATTAAAAAACTAAGATCACGGCATCTGTTCCCATCACTTCATGGCAAATAGATGGGGAAACAATGG